AGATCCTTGTCGTCTAGGTGCGAGGTCAATACCCATAATTTAGCTGTGAGGTCGATACTCGGTTTAGTCGTGACTCGGTTGGCTCGATCCACGAGGTTATATCCCATATCATATATAGTGATATGGAAATTAAGAAAAAAAATCACTTTTTAAATCAATTTTTAAACCGATATAGAAATTAAAAGAACAAGTAAAAAAACAGATTCTTCATTAGGTAATAAACCAATGTAGAAACTAGAGAGCAAACAAAAAATTAGCATTTCCCACAAGTCTAGCAATACTAGCAAACAATTCAATATACATCAAATATTCATTATACACCAAATATTCCGAAACAAAAGCCTACATAGTCTCCTACAAAGCCAATGAGGTGATATTGAGAATACTTGGTCCATCATCAAATATTCCGCATACACCAAATATTCCGAAACAAAAGCCTACATAGTCTCCTACAAAGCCAATGAGGTGATATTGTGAATACTTGGTCCATCGTCTCTGTATATCATCAATTTTCTCTTGCAATTATGGTTCTTCCAAATTAAACATCTAAATTGAAAAACCATAAATAACATAAAATCAAGACTAAAAAACTATAATATTTTCTTTAAGATAATATAATACTTGATATCTAATCTGTTCTATTCACTACAAGAATAATCGTTATTTGTTGTAACAATGTTTGTCATTGTATGTTTGAATATTGTCACTATATAATTTTGTCACAATATTAAAAGTTACTACTGCGACTAAAAATTTTAATGATGATACTTACAATCATCACTATAACCAAACTTTTAGTCACATTAACTATTATTATAAAACTGACATGTTGCATGTATTGTTTGTCACTAAAAGTTCATATTGTAGAGACGAGTAATATTAGTCACTATATATTAATACATACAGTGACAATTATTATTGAACAAACTACATCAATCTCTAAGCCTATGGCAATGACAATTGTAGCATTCAAAATCAAACACAAAAGCAGAAGATGATGAAACTTGAAAAGAAACAAGGGCTTCAGAAAAGACATCTCCATAAATATCCCACAAAAACATAGTGGATCGAAGTCTTGAGGTCATGTCTTGAAATAGCAGAGCTACAAAATTCTCAAAGTAAAACTTACTTTCTAATTGAACTAAATTCCTAGAAATCTTAAAATCCAACGACAGCGATTAGGCAAAACCAATGGTCACAGAAACTTAGTTCATCCTTCTGATGAGCTCGTTAATGTAATCCTCACGATGACCAGTATCACAACCCTCGACATAATGGTTTTTGTTCTTCTCCAATCCACCCAATGACTCCATCAGTTGGAATGGCCACAAGAAGTTGTTCGCCTCCTTGAAGTGGGGCCCCACAGTCATGGTCTAATGAATCAAATCCTCCAAGTAGATTATTCCATACTTGCCGTCTAAATGTAAAATGATAGTAATAAAATAGAAATGAGAAAGATGATATAAAAAAGGAGAAAATTTCTACTTTATCTTGAATGAAAGCACATATGACCGGCTCGATGATGGAATTATCAGTCAAAGTAATTCTCTGCGTGCTCACTTCTCCATATCCACGCTTGTAAATCAACTCCCTAACACTCTTAAGGTTGGGGTATCTGAAAGTTCGTGGAGTTGACCATTTTCTGATTGTTTATTAAATCAGAGTAAATTACTTCCACCTGTCAGTTGTTATCATACCCGTAGGTGACGTAAGGCTCAACCTTGTGCAGCATGTTCACCGTGGCTTTGTTTAGTTTCAAGAAGATGCCATTGAAGATCGGTACAAGTGCTAAAGAGAAGCACAATTAATATAACAAAAAACTTTAGTATGGGTTTTTTCTTCCTAGAGAAAAAGGAGTCACTAAAACTCAAAAGAAGCAAGAAGGTCTAATTCATTGCAAAAACAATTTATCAAAGGACATATCCAGTTATTTTTGTGAAAGGTAACTGCAAGTTCAAATAAATTTTCATCTGACTTCAGCTACAGTGTTATTTTAAGTTAGGACAGGGTACAGACCAACAAAATTGACTTTAAAACAACATGTACAAGATGCCAAATGGAAAAATAAGCGCCACATAGAAAGTAACACGCAAAACAACCAAAAGGTAATTCTAGAATCTGGAAGAATTTGCATGTGTTGAGATAAGAGGAAGAATAAACCATGGAATGATAAGTGAAGCAAAAAAGTAAATCATTGCAAGCACTCATGGACTCTTAATGATTGCATGAAGACAATTAAGATCAAACAGGATGCTCAATAACAGTTGCATTGAATACCTGTTTCAATCTCATAGCATTAATATTGAAATCATATAAACATAAATGTAAATATTTTTTTTCTCTTGCATTGATCTAGATATGGTGTAAATTGAGAAGCAAGTAAAAGCCTTACCCACAGATCCTAATTATGAACAAAGGCTTGGCTTCTGGGTTCGCGTAAAAGCCACCTTTCAATCTATCTTCACGCTTCAATTGTATCAAATCCTTCTCCTAGACAACAAAATTACATAAGAAAAAAACATAAAAGAAGAAAGACTAACGAATAAAAAAGACAAGCTGAAGTTTATTCCAGAGCCAAAGATAATTCAAGTTAACCTGTTGCTCATATTTCTTTGCATACTTTCTTGCTTTCTTGCAAATCAATTATCTGGTATCAGCTTGCTTCTGCTTTACCTCCTCAACATCTTTTGACTTGGCAAGGGCCCAGCCCAGCTCAGCCCTTTTTTGCTTCTTATCGACATCAGCCTTTACTGTACTGTTTACAATACAAAACAAAACCATAATTATCAACAGTCACATTGCAAGACGCAATCCATGGCATCTATTTGACTAGAAGAAAGTTGGGCTATAAAACAATCAACGTCATCCATTCGACATGTAACTGATTTCTCCGAATTGGTCATATGCAGTTAGTAGCGAGTAAAATAAACAACATAATTTCAGTAGAACCACCCCATATAAACAAACCAATATTCCAAAACATGGGTTAGACACAAATACCCCCTTTTTCATACCCATTTTTGCAAGATGCAAGGTAATGCAGTGTCAAATGATATTCAAGAAATGATTTTTCGAGGGTCATGCATACTTATATTCAATCTCGTGTGACTTGATTACTAGATCATTTTCCAGATATTAGCCCATTTCTAATTTTACTAAAAAATAAAGAAGCACACTTGATTACTAGATCATTTTCCACATATTAGCCCATTTCTAATTTGACTAAAAAAAGCAGCACAAAACCAGGAGCTCACACTTGGGATTTCATCAACACTCACCGAAATTACAAGCAAGGATAATATTGAATCTTTATATGTCGCGAACACAGAAAATAAAAAACAACTTAAAAGATTTAAAACATTTACTGCTAGGAAAAATACACTGAAATTTCTATAAAGTTAGGATCAAAAAGTGAAATAAAAAAAATAAAAATTAGACACACCAAATTGATAACAGAGTTCGGCCAATAATGCTTACATCTCCGTACTACTGCGGATATTTTATTAGGAAAATAAATACACTTGTGTTTACAAAAACTATCAAACTCACTCACAACTCACAACTCAAAAATACTCACAAAGGCTAAATTTTTATTAACTCTCTCTCTCTCTCTCTCTCTCTCTCTCTCTCTCTCTTTTCTTTTTTGTATTTTTGGTTGTGTTGTACTTTGGTGTCAATGTTCATCCAGATTTGCTCCTCTATTTATAGAGGGAAGAGTACATCAATTTCAACATGTGTACTCACTTTTTCAACATATTGCTCCTCTATTTATAGAGGGAAGAGTACATCAATTTCAACATATGTGTACTCACTTTTTCAACATAAGGTTGCTGCAATTTTCAAAACATTGGGGTTGTCAACATTGGCTGGTGGCTACTTTTCAACAATCTCCCACTTGAGGGCTGATTTCAATCTGTTCTCGTACCTCAATTACTGTAGTAGTCTTCTCCAGTCTATTATTTTAGCAAGCCAACTGAAGTTGAGCACAAATTCAGTTTGTCAATGGTCACCACCTTCGTTAGCATTTCTGTTGGGTTCTTGCTTCCTACAATCTTCTTCAAAGTCAACACTTCATTCCCAAGAAGAGATCTAATGAATGATATCGTATGTCAATGTGCTTAGTTCTGGAGTGAAACACTGAGTTCTTTGACATATGTATTGCACTCTGACTGTCAGTGTGCAACACACTCTCTTTTTGAGTGAAACCAAACTCTGGTAACAATCCTTGAAGTCATATCAATTCTTTACTAGATTCTGTCACTGTTATATACTCAGCCTCTGCAGTGGATAGAGCAATAATCTTTTGTATCCGCGACATTCAACTAACAATCGTAGCCTCGATAGTGAAAACATAACCAGTGGTGCTTCTTCGATGATCAACTTCACCTCCAAAGTCTGCATCTACGTAGCTCTGTAACTTTATATCTCATTTTCAAAAATACAATGAGCTTTATATCTCGTAGATATCTCAAGATCCATTTGATTGCTTCCCAATGAGCTTTTCTTGGATTTAACATAAACCTGCTCACAACTCCCACTGCATGATCAATGTCTGGCTTCGTACAGACCATCACGTACATCAAATTTCCAATGGCTGAAGCATAAGGAATCTTAGCCATAAACTCTTTTTCTAATTTTGATTAAGGAGACTGATCCTTGGATAGATGAAAATGGCTGGCCAAAGGTGTACTGACTGGTTTGGCCTTGTCCATGTTAAATCTCTGCAAAACATGGTTGATGTACTCTGCCTGAGATAACTGCAAAACTCCCTTTTGCTTATCTCTCGTGATTTGCATTCCAAGAATCTACTTCGCTTTGCCTAAGACCTTCATGTTAAATTCTTTTTACAACTGCATCTTTAAATTTTTAATGTCTTTCATATTTGATCCTGCTACTATCATGTCATCAACATAAAGTAGCAATATGATATAGCTGGACTCATATTTCTTGAAATAACAACAGTGATCAGCATTGCACGTCTGTAAACCTTCCTTGTGCATATAACTTTCAAACATCCTATACCACTGTCTTGGAGCTTGTTTCAGGCCGTACAAGCTCTTCTTAAATTTGCACACCATATCTTTTTTTCCTTCTGAAAAACCTTCAGGTTGGTGCATATAAATCTCCTCATCTAGGTCTTCGAGAAGAAATGCAATCTTCACGTCTAACTGCTCTAGAAAGATAGCTCTTCACTAACCACAATACTTAACACAGTCCTGATAGTATTGAGCTTTACAACTGGAGCAAAGATTTCAGTATAGTCAACTCTTTTTTCTGCTGAAATCCTTTGACGTCCAAGTCGGGATTTGTATCATCTAGATTTATCATGGTCTTCTTCCACCCGATACACCCATTTTGTCGTGAAGTTCTTTCTTTCCCATGGGTAACTTGACTTGTTCCCATGTCTGATTTGAGATCAAAGACTTCATCTCGTCCTTTATGGCAAGCTTCCACTTGCTAGCATCTGGAGTTTGAGAAGTCTCCTTATAATCTTTAGGTTCTCCTCCATCAGTTAACAACATGTAGTCCATGTATCTCCTGTTAGGCACATGGGCCCGAGAGGACCTTCTAAATACAGAAGTTGGAGTACAAGGTTCTGATTTGTCATCGCTTTCTTCATTTAATACATCTGATCAAGGATTCCTTATTATAGGAATGTTTTGGAATATTTTCCACATCTGCATAAACTGGCCCACTCGCTTATGAGTTGCTGGCACTTGTGTTATGTCGGTCTTTCTTCATCACTCTTTTATAAAAGATGACATCTCTACTGCGGATCATCATTTTGTTTTCATCATCCCAAAAGCGGTAACCAAACTCATCTTCACCATAACCAAGGAAAGTACATTTCTTTGATTTTGGATCAAGTTTGTTTCTACTGTAATCATTGATGTTCACATATGCTGCACACCCTAAAACTCTACATGAGAATATGAAATACCTCACATGCCGCTTACGAGGAAAAAAGCTTAAGATCACTGACAAGGCCCTTGCGATATTCTTCACTTGAAGACCATCAGTTCACGTAAAAAATTCGAGAAGTTTGACGTCAATAAGTCGTGGGCTTCTTTATATCCATGCAAATTCTTTAACAAAAGCGGCTCGTCGGAAGGTTTGATTAAGGAGGCCAATTGCAATCGTGCATAAGTTTCTCACCATGCAACATCTTCGGCAAAAAAGAGTGGAACAAAGTGAGTGAACAAGAGGTCTTTGTACTAGGAGCGATGTACAAAGGCTAACCCGTGTGTCTTCTACCTTTCCTCAAACAAGCTCTGTGGGACACGAGAAGGAAGCCGAAAAGTTATCCCACCATGGGGCACATTGTGACAGGGATTACCGACTATTTCAAAGACCCTTACGATGGTGAACCGAGCACCGCAACAGTGTGTATTGGTTCGAACGACCTACAAACAGCTGGTCTTCTCACTGATGACAACAAGCTCAAGCATTATTCGGAGCGGAAGTGTTATACAAATTATATGGATGAGTTGAAGAAAGCGGTAGCTGGGGTCTCGTGTCAACTGGCAGTTGGAGGGTCTTCTCCATAAGAGGCAGAGGAGCATATGGAGCATGCCTCAGGAGATGACGAGTGGCCCGATCAGACACATCATCACATACCTCAGTCTCTCCATGGCATTCCAGACGTACTACCTCAGCAGGCACCCACGTTGTTCGTGGAGTATCAAACTTGTTAGGATGAGTATCAAACACGGCAGGATGAGTGATGGGTCCTCTCTCTAGATCTGGAGTGAACCGGTGGAATTGGGCTCCTATCTGTTCAAACCACCTTTAAATCGCCCTCAAGTTGAACTGAACACATGCAAGAACTCAACACCAGAAGTGTTTCCGGTGAAGAGCCTCTGATGCTCAAGTCAGTATGAAAGTGGTGAAGATGAGCTCTGCTCAGTAGGCGCAGCAGCTGAAAGATGAATGGAGAGAATGAAAGTTAGGGTTTGGAGTTACCTTGCCTCCTTTATATAAGGGCGGAACATTTACCTGAAGTCTCTAAAATACCCTGGTCGACTTACGTGAAGTGTCCAAAATGCCCTAGTCGTTTCACATTCCATCCACTCTCTAAGCAGCATCTAGATTTCTTCTTATCCTTGGTGGATTCATTCCTGGTGGGATTTTCCACTATGATACGTTGAAGTATGTAGAAGTCGTCGGAAGCCTTGATATCTCATGATGTTATAACTCGACTTCAGGTACAGTCGAGTCGACTTGTGTCATTCCCTAATGTTTATAGATCACGCCATGCCTCTGTTTCTGGGAGAAGTCGACTCCTGAAAGTTGACTGAGGGCTTCCTCTAGGGCTCGTTGAGCTGGGAACAGTTTCCGGGAGATTCATAGGGAAAGTCGACTTTAGAGAAGTCAACTTACAGATGTCGACCGGTACGGGTCGACTAAAATACTATCCATTTGATTGAGTAATTAGGCCTGAACTGTTATGCTATAGCGTGGCTATATCATCTACTTTCCCCCAAAAGTTATTCGAAGCGATTCTGAGCTTAAGAGTAAATTTGTTGATTGAGTAATTAGCCTGACTCTTTCCGCGCGCCGAGCCTTGCCTTGCATTGTTGCCTGGGATTGGATCCCTCCACGATATCTGCTTCTTAGTTGATTTCCTTGGTCCCAGTCGCTTCTCTTTACATCTCGAATTGTGAACATTTCTTTCATTTTCATACACATCACCACATTGATCGGATAAATCCAAATTTTATTTTTAATTTCAAAATTCAAAAAGGTTCGCATCCTGATAATACATTTTCTCTCTCCGTCGC